CTACCTTATTAGTAGTTGGGTACCCCTTAAACGTTATTCACTTTTGATTTTTTGTATTTAGAATAATGGATTGGTATTTCTAAGACAGCCATGTTTTAGGCAAACTTCATTCCTGGTGTTACACAGATTATTTCAGTCTACTAGGACTTCAAGGGCAATTTCACTTTCGAAGAATACACACTGCCACAAGACATGTCTGAAAATTGACCCATTACGAACTTTATAACGAAAGCTATTTTTAGTCGACTTACGTAAATACAGCTGCAGTATAGGTAGGTAAACTGGCAGTATAAGTTTTCATTGACTACTGGTCTTCTAAGCTTGTAAAACTTGTATTTATACGCGACACTCTGCTCGCCTCGTTGGCTTCCCCGCCATATTTACAGGTCAGAGGTCAACAATTTGAAGTGCAAAGTTCGTCAGTGTAAGCGCCCGCTATAGGTTACACTAACCACTACTACCCGGTAGTATTTATTTTTCAAAAACAGAAAGAAAGACAGACAGACAGAGAAGGTGTTGTTAGTAGTCAAATTACAAAAGTTGTGACCTATTGCACGAACATCACCAGTTGACAATTGTATTCTGGAATCCGGATCGAAATTATAGATATTGACGAATAATGTTGAAATGAACACTGATCTTCACAGTTGTATTTGAATTTGGGTAGTCCCAGGAAGAAATACGATATTCTTAATATTTTGTTATTCTAAAAAAGTAAACAAAAAAGTGCCCAAAAGTACTCTCAAATGACCATAGTAACATTCTTTTATTTAAATTATCTGATATCTAGTGACTGACCTCAAATAGATGTATCTTTTTCAACTAATAAAGTATTTGGAGAATGAGTGAGACTGGATACTCCACATCTTCAATAATTGAGTTTGCTAGCACTACTAACACCCATTGCATAATTCCGATACATATTTGCAATGATAAAATAAGTGTAGTAGGATTTGTCACACGTCACCAAAAAAATAGTTGTTTCAATCGTTGATCATGTGAAATAGAGAAGTTCTGACAGGTAGATTATAGACATATATTTTGTGTAAAATCTGAAATTCACAAATTCGTCAATTATTATTTTGAAAGAAAAAGTATAGAAGGACGACCTACAATCAATTTATCATAAATCACCGTTTTATTTTTGGACAATTTCAATATCTAATTTCAATATATCTATATTATAATAAAATATAGCGGTAATTTATGATAAATTGATATGTGTTTGTTTCAGTTGCCTCTGCCATTTAATTGGTCTTGCTTACACCAAGCCAAAATATAAACATATGGATGGTAATGAGTACATCCTCTCCATTATCAAAATGCCATTTCATCTGAACAATTTCTACGTGAATACAAAATCACAAAATCAAATTTTAGAAGCAAATCAAATCGTAAACATTGAGTCACAGTTCTTCTCTTTTTTTATTTTGAATGTCATGTTACCAACAAACATTATTTTTAACAGATGAAATCAGCGTTCCCCAAACCACGGCCGAATCCAGCAGCAAATTCCCTTTTTTTTATTCAACTTATAATTTAATTTGTCCAATAATGCTTTGCCGAGGGGTTCTGTAGAACTATTCTATTATGATTTCTGGTATGTAGACTAACTACTTCCACAAATCTAAAGTATGCCTTCAATCTATTCAGTTTAGTTTTCGTGATTCAAATAATCACCTGGTATATTTCCATCCTTTTTTTTGCATAAAAAGTGTTCTTTGAGACCCAGGTGTCCAGTTTGTTTAGAACTTTCTATATTAACACATTTCTTCAATTATTACTCCTTGTTTTGGAATGAAACTTTCCCTTGCTCTATTTAAGGTATTAGTGCCATAACTTTATAGGAATTAATCATGTACATAATCCCAATTCCGTTAATTAATGAAATCCGCTAATTTTAAATCTATGTAAATCTACTATATAACTAATTGTTTATATAATTTTTATGTCAAATTTTATCGAAATTACAAGTTACATTCCCAGTTGCAGAAAATAACCCAGCAAATATTGTTATCGCTATGAGAAATGAAAAAATCACTTGGTTTCACAACAAATCCTGAAATATTGCAGTTAGCTTTACTGAATGCCGTAACTACATTACTTTATTTACGAGTACTCGCTAAGTTTATTTTCGGGATTCCGTTAGATACATTCCTCATGAATTAGAAGAATAAAAAATCAAAGCCTCTGTTACGAAACTAGACTGGATCACAGAATGTACTCGCATGATACGTCGACAGGTGTCATTCGTTAACACCTGAGTCGCAGGTGGCATGATAATTAAAGACCGGTGAAGATGTTAAACTCGACATTGTCCTACCTAAGCAGGCATTATATGTCACGTGATTTACCAAATATAATAACTTGTACTTGAATACTGAAACAGACAACCCATGTACGTGGTCTGGATACGGACTCGTGTTCACAGGACAGCCATTTTGAGCCGACTTCCAGAGTGAATGTGCATACGCCATGCTATTAATCCGTCATATCATGAATACAGTTCTGCAATATCACCGTGCCACCGTTTATGGTGCGCCATTAGGGCCAAAATTGAAAAAGCACAACTAAGCAAAATGATAAATAAAAAAAATGAAAGAATAGACGAATAAATAAATAAAAGAAGAAATAAAAACGTAAAAGAATAAATGGAAACAAAGATCAATAATTAAAAGAAAAGAAAAAAAGAATAGAAAAATAAATAAATTAATTAATTAATTAAAAGAGATAGAAAAATAGAAATAGCTTATTTAAATAGTAATTAAGTATTTAAAAAAAAGCTGTTTAAAAGAAAACTACCGTTACTCGGCAACGAGGTTAAAAACTAAACCGCCTTTGCCGCGCAACGGGGCTAAAAAGTAAAATGCCGTTGCATCGCAACGAAGCTAAAAAAATAAACCGCCGTTGCGTCGTAACGGAGCTGGAACTTTTACCCCGACCCTTAACCCCAAACGCGCATGGAAAGCAGGTTCTACAACTGAACGATACCTTGACGGCTATTAGCAAATACGGTCAATTGCATCGATTGCTCTAACATCTCTTAGTCAAAAAAAAAGGTCGCGTGGTTCTCGCTCTCAAATTTTAGAGACCATTTGCGCATGCGGTTTATTGCTCTGTTTCCTTCGACTTTATTGAAAACAATGTAGGATTGTTTCTACTACTGAGAAAAGAACCAGCAGCGCATTGACCGTAAAATTAAAATCAAAATTACCCATATTTAACACGGTAAATGGGAACAGGAATCATTTACATAATACCCATTTCCATACTACATTTGTCACGCATTTGTCAAGAACATTTCATTCGGTCAACAACATAATTTTTTGAAAGCGAAAAAAGGGTAATTTTAATTAGTTTTGTAGTTGTGTTTGGTATTGTTGTGGGTGTTCACTGTAAGTCTGAACTACGACTGAACACAACTGCGGTGAAAAAATGTCTGACAGATGCTCTCCTTATCAATATGTTGAAGGACGGTCAGGGGTTCCCATTGTATTTTACACAATGTGTTCTCTAAACTGAAATAATTACTTCTACATGGAGTGTTAGATTACTTCAATAATATTCCACGAACGTAAAAGGAAAAGTCGAACGATTTAAAAACTTATTTGAGGGTATACAATTCTTCCGACTACGTTATTGGCAATTAGCAATTTGATCATGGCTCAATCCGGAGTTTCACAGCACTAATAGTCACTTTGACCCACCTTTCATCAGATTGTACGAATGCTGGAAACCCAGCAATTTGATCAAAATGATACTACATAGGAAACACTATTCTTGAACTATCATGAAATAACGGTGTTTTACATCGTCTGAAATTGGTGAATGGAAGCTGGATCCTATATCACCACAAATTTGAAGCGCCCAATCACAAATCACCAGGAATTAAAAATAACCATTCATCAATTAGCCCAATTCGAAGAACCAAATTACCAATCATTAGGAATTCTATTTACCTCTATTTTGAAATAAATCTGTCACACTCGTTCCAGAACCTGTACCAGTTCCACAATCTGTACCAGTTATTCAACCAGAACAAATAAAAAACTATTTCAAGTTTGTAAAGGTTTATACACTTTTGGGTCATAAAGACATAGGTCAAAATATGTATATGAGATCCTGAGATTCTTGTTTCATCAATTTCGCCAATGGTATTCCAACATTCGCCAATGGTATTCTTTCTATTGAAATTTCTCAAATTTATCCTTAAAGGGGAACCGCTCAATCCCATGGATTGCACCATTTATGTTGTTTACAAAGTTAATCTATCTTATGTTATACATTGTAATTTTAATCCAGAAAGTAAATTTCTTGTGAGATTAGGCTTAACTGGAAGTGTCCCTTTTTTTTCTAAAGTTTAAAAATGATTGTATCCATTACAACAAAGTGATGAACACAATTGTATAATTTATATCAAAGAATATTAAAACATATCACTTGCTGCTATGGCAACATACTGTGACAGTTAAAACAGTGTTCTCATAATAATAAGTTGCATGACGTAATTTTCACTTATAAATAAATGCCACAGGAAAGCCTCATCAATCATTAATAAAACCTCCACAGCACACAGTAGACAGTAGAAGGTCATGATGATATGTCGTTTAGATGTTGCGTAACAGTCCTACCTATAAACTGCATGGCTACTAACTAAAGGGTCTGTTGCATTTACCTTATAATCCATGATGTTTTAAAAACGACAATCATATGAATACTTTTTTACCATACCTATTCAAACATTCTCAACAATTCTACTCCTAGGGATTGTGAAGTAATATGTCTGAATCACAGAGATCCATCGGTGTTAGTTATTTGTTGTTAGTTGCGTTTACCATCGAAGCCAGAATACTAAAACCGTATATGCCACCAGTGTGGAAAATGAGTGAAACCCTTACGTAAATGACCCCCGGGAAAAAAATACATCCAGACATTTATTTGTGAAATTCCTAGTTCAATGACATAAACACTTTCCTCAATTGGCGTTATTAAGTCATATGTACATATCCTACGGTAAGGCAGTGAATCATGTACAATCAATGGAGCTGTTCATCGAAAGAAAATGTTGCAAATATTCTCCACCCTTTTTTTAACACGCATAATCCTTACAAAATATGAAATAACAAAATTAAAGCAATAACAAAAAATAAAGAAAAAAAAAATAAAAAAAATAAAAAAAAAATGTTCGTCAGTGAAAAAACTAAATAGCAGGACAAACAAAAACAAAATGACGTAAATTTAGAACCTCGCGCTCTTGACGTCACGCTGTTGTAATTGTTTTCTTGGGAATGCTGTGTTCGGTTGAAGGAATCCATGCTAGACACACGGTATAGTTGTAGTTATACGCAATAATTGTGATTTTTTCAATGGTAGATACAGTAAAATATATATTGACTTAAATTAGACTCCGAGTGAAAATCTCACGGTTACGCCTGGGGATGTATGCGGTTGAACAACGACGACTAACCAAGACGATCGACCGACGAAAATGACCCAGAACGAGACCACTCCGTCTATCACCGGTCGTGGTTCACGTGGTAGTTTTGAGACGATAATATTCAAAATGTTCCAATTATTCAGGACAGTACGTATCCGCGTAACAGTGCATATCGTTTTTAACATAGGCCACCGAACACAATTTTGAGATATGATGGAATATTTCTGCCATAGGAACCAATTGGAAACTATTTCCGACCAAGCTTATTAAAATAATGTCTACAAACAGGTCTTTAACAGAGTGTAATGACGAATTTCATTTGAATGGTACTCACTCTGCCCTTTGTTAATTAGTGGATCAAGGTTAACCCAACAAAATAAACCAAGCATCACCATCGAGAACACACGATTCCAATTTGAACAGTACTTATTGAGAAGTGGTTAGTTAATTGGTATATCAAAGTTAGTCTCTTTGTATTCGATTAATCACTAACATATCAATGTGTTGTAATACGGCAATCACATATATGCAGCATTTACTCCAAACACATAAGTATTATGTGTACATTCAGAATTAAAGGAAATAAACGTAAGGATCCCCACCACAGGATATATTTATCGGTTGAAATATTACGCTGTCTGCCGTTGAGTAAATCGAGATAATAGCGATTTGGGCCTGACAGCGATTGTTAACGAACTATTATAATCGTAACAATCTGAAACCTCGAGAATGATAATTAATAAATAGAATCCGTGCAGACAATCCAAAAGTTGAACACACCATTCACGCAGTTCGTACGTGATACATCCATTGTAACTAGGTGACTGAAAACATGTCTGCACATGCGCCTTTTTACTTCCACGTGCAACTGACGTATCAGTAGTATTCACTGTAACGTAAAAAAAACGCTCACATCTCAGTATACTCATTATAAAAAACGTGATAGGAATGGCTAAATTAATTCATATAAGAAAGGTCTCACCTTGGAGTATGTTTTCCTTCACAGTCGGCATCATATGAAGCGGGTATATGTGTTCTGCACAATGACGTACCACAATCATGGCGATTCTGCTTCGACAGATTAACCATATAGCCCCCTCAGAATTTACAAAACATACAACGTAATTACCGGTGGATTATTGGCCTGTATAATGCTAGAATTGTGTACATACTGTTAGTCTTTTGTCACACCTCATCGCATCAATTTTGTAGTTGACGTAACTTATGCAAGTTGTAAGTTATTTATAGAATGTTAAAAGGTTTTATATGTACATCTATGATTGTATTAGTTTCACAATTTGTAAAACGATTTTGCGTACAAAGAAAGTTAGTATTAAATTCAAAGTGTGTCTGCGTGGCACATATTAAAAGCATCCAGGGAACTTGGTGATGGGTGCGTATACTTACATGTTGCCTGTGATGTATAGATGTACAGTAATCGTGCCGACGGATTGTGTTCTCTGGCTTGCTCGTGAAAGTTGGCGGTTGGAATGGATGTCGCATCTCTGCCTGTCCAATCACTGATGTGATTATTCAGATTTTAAAAATAGAGAGAGAGGAATTGTTCCAGGCTTGTACTAACTAGCTTTTGTATATATTATTAATACAATAAGATGATTATCTTGACTCACAAACCGATCTCTATGTCATAACTATACTCATCGTTTGCATATGTATTGGCTTCATAAAACAAGCACGCGTGGTTGTCGCGCCGCGCATGTGTTGATAAACATTGTTTTTCACAGAGGAAATCACGAGTACGAGTTTTGACGTGGGCGCGACGGGCACTAATTACTATCGATTACTCCTTCGATACCTTCCAATCACCAAAGAAATTACTCACTCAAAGCTTGGTAACGTCTCTGTTTGTACTTGATAATCTGCACGCACAACAGTCATAGTAGCCATCTTTGTTCATATGAGACCCATATCTCGCGCATGCGTGGCGCGACGTTCACGTCCTTTAAAAAGCAACATCCCCTAAGGAAACGAAATACTATGGCGCGTGCACCACTACCAAATGTTGCATGCTTCATTATAATACACTAACATGTACTGCAGTTTGAAGCAAGAAGTTTCTTTTGAAGGTCCCTCTTATTATAGCCTTCTCTCACAATAGCCATCGTAACGTTTTTATGTAATTTGTGCAATTTAAATTTCGTGACTGAGCCTTGAGAGAAAACTCTGTGAAAACAGCCAGTAAACAGCTGCCTCTTATAAAAACTGCATGAAGTTATATGCATATGTAATTATTTGTAAATTTATATACTATACGTTGTGTCATACATTAATACAGCGTACAATGCTTTCATATTCATATGGGTAATTCACAGGCCACATGAGCCAGAAGACAGATACTTTCGTAAGCGATCTAATAATCTCAGATTATCACCACCAATTACACACTTTAGTTTATTACATATTTCACAGGTACTGCTTCTGTGGACAGCATTCATGCAAACAATAAGTCATAATATCGGAAATACCTAGTTTTTACAGAGGTGTGGCAGGCATATTTATTATTATATTAATATGATAACACCGTGCTTTTCATGGTTTTCTTCTAAGATTGTCTCCAGGATAGTTATCCCAAAATCTAAAAAGTTTCATAAACACATTATAACGGATAGTTATAGTATGATAAAAGTAGGAGTACTATAACGAAGTTATATCACGAGAAATTGGTATTTTTTCTGTGTGTTGTCAAAGTGTCCGTGTGTTGCTCAACATCTTTTGTACAGAAGAACTACGGGTCAATGACCTGTAGTATCTCACCTGATATACAGAGGGTATGTCACGAGCGATCCTACAATATTAGATTTATTAAACGAGTGTGGTAATTTTCATTTGTTTCGAGCTTTTTCTATTCAGGAATATAGTTATTTAAAAAAGTTATAACCATATTCAAGGTTTCGGAGATGCATTAGTTCCATAATTATAATTATTGAGTAAATTCAAACTGTCACCGTATCACAATACGTGACAATACGCAATACATGGGTGTTACAGATTTCTGTGTTTGGAGAATTTTAATTAATCTCACATCATATTTAGCCGACATTAGAAACAATCAGAAATAGTAATATTAATATATTTGTCAATATAATTCATAAAATATTGTGTAGAACAAAAATATCATGGAATAACAGTTTATTTAGCGACAGTCAGCCATGACGTCTAAAGGTCAATCTGATAATATTAACTAACAATTGTATCAGTAAGTTAAACACTTCAAATACTGCTTTACCTCACCGAGACCCTTATAGTTAACTACATATACACGACAGCATATAAGTAAGGAAATAATAACAGTGTCATGTTACATAGCGTTCACAAATATTAAATATACCATTCCTACCAAAAATATAGCTAGAGATTGTTTCAGATTCTCCGTGTTGATTGCAGTAATATATTTGTTTAGATGTTCTGTAAATGTATTTTATATGATATAGCGAGACTCTGGAGAATATATTTGAATGAAAACGCTACTTGAATAGATTGCACAATATCATTAGAAAGGTGCGTAGTGATTTACATGGACATCCCCGACGTGAAATGGAATATTCCTGGAATCCAAACTGTATATATAACACACCGCGTTGCATAGGAGCAGTTGGTGGCTATACATTTATACGATGACATCACCAGAGACAATGGCGTGGAACAACACATCTGGTCTAGGCCATATTGCTGAAGTAGGCGTTGGAACTTACGTAACAATAATGTGTAAGTTCAGAACTTTACTGTTTTAATTTGCATTGCAAGCAACATACACGTACAATTAGTAAACATACATTGACATCATATAACGTAGCACATGCATAGTAAATGTCACTGGCGACCAGACGTTGTGATGTCGATGTCGAAACGCAATATGACACTTATTTTATTATAGAAATATTTAATTGCGTCTTCAACTGTATAGGTCGCACTAGTTCGTGCATTCTAGCGCATTTTGTCAGTCGTGCCTTAAGTCAAAAGGCGAGAAGATTTATACAGCATGGCAGCAAGCATTGTACTTAATTTAAATGAAGTGTGGAACAACGAAATTGAGAATAAATTGATTATACGGCGAAGCTTACGTGGCTTACGTGTATGGGTTTCAGGTGAGCTGACAGTTGACACCGAGATAAATCAGGTTGTAATGTATTAACCAGATTATATATATTGTCGTTTGTGTTGATTTTATGCAGTCTAATTTAATAAGTCTAATTTTTCACACGGGGAACTTCACATTTTCGTATATTTGTTAAGACAGGCTTGTCAAACAAAACGAAGTGAAATGACCCCGACAATTTCAAAGCTTTAGTATGAAGTATCGTTTGTTACCAGGGGCGGATAGCTCACTGATTAAGTTGCCAACTAGAACGAATCAAAATGATCTTAACGAGTCTGGAATTTGCTTCGAAGTCTCTGGTACCTCAAATTTCTTTCGGTTTATTTAAATATAAAAAAAATAATTACTGTTTGTCTGTATATAGTAATTTGTAATCCAAAAAGATAAAAAAACAACCGTTCGACGGTTACCATGTCTACAGTTAACATGTTGTCTTTGTATTCTGAAATGTACGTAGATAGCATATGATGACAATGACAACAAACATGTAGTGCCAGTGTGTGAAGCCGCTCTTTTCTATTAAGACTTGGTGATTGTTAAGTTTTGTCACGCTGTTCTATTTTATGCAATATGACAGTCTGCTCTTTACTGAACACGTATGACATAAATGCAATGAACATGCTTTTTCGGAAATTCAATGATTTATCAATGTCTGTATCTACTGAAATATGTAGAATGTAATATATAAAAAGTTAAGGCTAATAATGGTCTTTGATTTCAGGAAAAGTAATTGTTGCACTGCTAAATTTGCATGTCAAATTAACATAAAAAATATGTGGTATATGTATTAAGTTCGCTGTTCTGTCATGAATGTGTTTTCGCGTATCTGTTGACCGACTTAATTAGTTGATTATTAGCTGAATTGCTGTGTTATGTCTGTCATCGTTTAGGCCTATTTGAAGTTTTGGACGGAACTTGGCTCAGTGATTTGGAACTAATTACAA